GGGGTCGTTGTTGTCGTAGGTGCAGGGGTCGTCGTTGTCGTAGGTGCATCAGGAACCGTTGACGTTGTTCCTGTTGATGTTGTGGTGGAGGTGGTTTCCTCGGGAGTCGTGGTTGTCGTAGGTGCAAGTGTCGTCGTTGTTGTAGGAGCCAGGGTGGTTGTTGTAGTCGGCCCCACTGTGGTGGTGGTTGTTGCTGCCGGGGTCGTTGTTGTCGTAGGTGCAGGTGTCGTCGTTGTCGTAGGAGCCAGGGTGGTTGTTGTAGTCGGCCCCACTGTGGTGGTTGTTGTTGCTGCCGGGGTCGTGGTTGTCGTAGGTGCAAGTGTCGTCGTTGTTGTAGGAGCCAGAGTGGTTGTTGTAGTCGGCCCCACTGTGGTGGTTGTAGTGCTCGATGCAGGCGAGCTGTCACAGCATGCCCATCCCACTGCGAAGTTACTGATGCCTCTCAAATTGCCATTACCCTGAACGACTGTGGCCACGACACAGAAGTCGCCACTGCCAGTGTAGTTTGTACAAACGGTGGTGCTGGGGTCTTTGGTTGGCGCACTGCAGTTCTCAATACCGTCGTAACAGAGTACGCCAGAACTTGCGGACTTGATACACACCTGCGCGGGGCAGACTCCCGGCGGGACTGGGAAGCAGAATTCGAGTGTTTCGTCGGGCAATTCAACTTTGGCTGTGGTGCTGTTGGCCGTGCCGGGGCAAGGATTGCTTCCTGTTAATGGAGGGGGGAGTCCGTCGAACCAACAGTTCGTAAAGTCGCCAGCCGTCATGTCTGATGGGCTGCATTCCCGCTGAGGGTTCTGCTCGTTCACATTGCATATTGTTGCGTCCGGGAAGAAGTTCGTGTCACAAGCCTCGTTTGGTGGCTCGGGGGCCGGAGTATCGGAAACGGAACTGCCAGAGCGACCGGAACCGCCACCGAAAATGCCACCGGAGTTGCTGTCAAGCAGGCCGGCGCCAAGAGCGCCACCAGAGAGAGATCCATGGAGACTTCTGCTCATCTCCAACTGGAAAAGTTCTGAAGCATCGGACTCACTCGCACGGACAGCGGCGCCATCTGAGACTGTGCTGCAGTGTTCACCATGTCCATGAACACCTTCTGCTCCCATTAGGAAGCAAGCGATGAACCAGAGGAGCTGCATCATCGCGGCACTGGCGAACTGCTGCTAGGGTCCCTATTCGGAGCTGCACGAAGGAAGAGCTGCTTGAGTTCATGTATGTGCAAGCGCAAGCGGCTGCTAATGACACTGCCACTGCCACTACCATTGGGTGCTTCGACGACCGTGAGGCCCTGGCGGCCCAAGGTCGGGCGGCTTGCGGCTTCTGGGCGCGGACGTCCGCTCCTGGTGGTGAAGCGCGAGGGCAGAGAAGTCTCTTGTCTCTGTGTCTGTGTGTCTGTGTGTCTCTGTGTCTGTGTAATTCTGCTGTACATGCGACAAACTCTGCACTTACTGATGACATGGCAGTGCTTGCAACCGCGCATGTGTTGATCATGAGTTTCAAGCTTTGACCGTTCTCACTTTTGTTTTCCTTTCTTTTCCAAACCATTTTCTGTCA